CCACTCTAATTTCAAAATTTGAAAGGAAGAAATAAATTTAATTTTTAGTAAAACTATTTGCAGTTTTGGAAATATGTCTCTCAAGAATAATTATTTAAAATGATTATAAAATCAAATTAGTGGTGAATTATTCATGTTATAGTTTACAATATTGATATTATGAGCTAAATTACATATTATATTCTTTTTATTAATATAAAATTTAATTGTATTTAATCGAAATTCATAATATGAGTTAAAAAGATTCTATAAATTTTTTTTTTATATAGAAAAAACTAATTGTTAAATTTTTTCTTACATTCAAAAGTGAAATTTGAAATGAATCAAAATCTCTAAAATTTTATTTATTCTTGATAGATGTAGAAATTATTTACAAAAATTTGGGTAATATTATTTCAATATTTAGCATCCCTATTAAATAAAAAAACTTCTATTAATTTTTTTAGAATAAAAGGATAGATTTTATGGAAATCATGGATTTGTGAAATTTTGGAATAAATAATAATCCTTCAAAGATTTGTTTTTATATAGAAAAAAGCGATTTTCGATTTCCTTATGATTAGGTTTTAAGCTTGTGTATTTTAGTTAATAGCTTTTTCATTAGAAAAAAAAAATAGATTAGAAGAAGCTATCAATTGTTGGGATATAGGGATTGAATCAAATAAAAATAAATTTGGATTTACAAGAATAATGTAATAATATGGTTATTAATTTGATTTAGTAAGGCTTTTAGAAAAAAAACTAACAAATGTAAATTATATAAAAACATAGTAAATTAAAGGAATTACTCAATAATAATTGGAATGATGCATTTTAAAATGATTTTAAATAAAAGGCTTATTACTTTAAAGGTATTACAATTACTATACTATTTTATTTAATAAAAAATTTTAGTAAATGTCTTATAAAATTAAGTGAGGTAAGATGAAATCATTAAATATTGGGAAGATTTTACTAAATATAAACTAGAATGATATTTATTTCTATTAATAAAAAGGTATATTTTCTTCAATTTTTTAGCTTAGCGTTTATTTAACAAAACCATCTTTTTAATTTAGAAAAATTTGGCAAATAAGAGAAATTTATAAAATGTTGGGATAAAGGTATTGCTAAAAACTTAAATAATCTAAACTATTATTTATATAAAAGTATTAAAATTCATATTTAGCTGCTTCATTAAAAAATTAAAAAAAAGTATATTCAAATTAAAAGACAAGATAAAGAAACTTAAATTATAAATATTTGGTAAAAAGCAATATAATATAATCCAAATAAAAAATTATTTTACTTTGAAAAAGTTAAATTTAACTCTCATTTTATTTAAGTAAAGCATTAGAACATTAATAAAAATATGAAGAAATAATTAAATTTTGGGACGATTATATTTTAAAGAATAAAAATGTTTAATAGGCTGTGTTGGAAATAGGTAATTAGATTCTAAAATTTTAGTTTTTCCATTAGTTAAATAGGGAAAATATGAACAAACAAAGGATTTTTGGAATTCAACTCATAATAGTTAATTTAATTGTTTCTAATTCTATATTAGATTAAGTAAATTAAATATATAACGGAAAGCAAAAGCATTAGAATAATAAGCTTATGTTCAAGAAATAATTAAAATTTGGCAATTAGGTATTTAAAGCAAATCATATGAAAAAGATGCTTATTATATAAAAAAATGTATCTAATTTTTATTAATGTCACAGGTGAAGCTCTTTAGAATTAACTTAAATTTTAGGAAATTATTGATTGTTGCGATAATGAATTTAAGAATTTGCAAATAATATTTAAAATTATAATCAAAAATGTTTGATATTCATTATTGCTAATTAGAAAAAGCAATATTTATTTAAGGTAAAAGATAAGAATAGAACCCAAAAAATTCTTAATTGTTGGGATTTTAGAATTCAAAAAAATAAAACTTAATTAGCATTTTATAAAGGCAAAAGTAAAATTTTTCATCAAATATTTACAGTAAGCTTTAAATCGAAAATGAAAAAAAATGGCTGTAAAAAGTTGAAGAAATATGAAGAGATTATTGAATGTATTGATAAAGGAATTTAGTAAAAAGGTAATAAATTTATAGATTTAGTTTTATTTTAAATTTCAAACTTATTTTAATAAATTTATAAATAGAGAGTCGAAAAACAAATTCTTCTAATGGTTTAGAAAAAATTTTAATTTGCAATTTTTATCTTGAAAAAGGTAAGAAATTTTTTCTTAATTAATATATTAAAACATGCATTATAATTGTAGTTTTTTTTTAGTATTACTACACAGTGAATCAGATCACGCGGTCTGTCATAACCTTTGAATTCAATTAATTTAATTTATGATAAAAATAAATTTAGTTTTAGTTGTTAGATTTATTTTTGAATTAACAAATAATATATCAAATGAAATGTTATAAAGGATATTATGTCAAACGCTACAATAACATATGAAAAAGAGGCTTTTGCCTAAGTAGTTAATGGGAAAGCAATAAATTTTTTTACTTTTTATGAGGGAGGGTTTGCAAATATCAAATATGATATCTAAAGATTATGATGCAAAATTTAATTGAAATATTTTGTGATAAGTTAATTTATTTATTTAGTGGTTAATAGTTTTTATATCTTTGATAAGTTAATTTATTTTTTTATTAGTTTATAATTTATATTTTTAGAGTTTAATTTATTTTAAACTTAGATTTCAAAAATGTTGAGAATAGGTTTTCTCGATTTTTTCTGGGGTTTAATCAACAGGTATATTAGGGAATATAAAAGCATAAATTCCTTTTATAAAATAAATAAATATATCTTAAAAAATTCAGAAAAAATAATTTAATGTTATAATTTTAAAATTCATATTTTGTATTTTTTTTCAATTATCATATTTCTTTTCCCCTTGTTTTTAATTATTCATTATATTCATTTCAATCCAAGTACCTACTTTTTGACCTTTTTAGTTGTATTAACCATTATGAGTTACTTATTTAGGAAAAAACCAATCACCCTTAAAATCTACATCCAATTCTACCCATTTTCCGATCTTTCTCTAATTTCCTTCTTAATCATATGATCCACCACCACTAAATATTCCCCTTTATACTTATATTATATTACATTTATTTATAGCCCTTTTCCTCTAATTTAAAATGCATAATATCCCATCTGCCTACTTTCAAACCCTATAGATTATATTCACCATTATAAGTGACTTATTTATCCTATTAAAACCCTTCATCCAAATCTACCCATATTCCAATCTTTTTCTAATTTCCTTCTTAATCATATGAACCACCACCACTAGATTTTACTTATTCAATATTTACATTTATTTATATTCCTTTTCCTCATATTTAAGGTACATAATATCCCATCTGTCTACCTTTTAACCCTATATATTATATTCGCCATTATAAGTGACTTATTTATTTTATTTAAACCCTTCATCCAAATCTACCCATTTTCCAATCTTTTTCTAATTTCCCTCTTAATCATATGAACCACCACCACTAGATTTTACTTATTCAATATTTACATTTATTTATATTCCTTTTCCTCATATTTACAATACATGATATCCCATCTACCTACCTTTATACCATTCATATTATATTCACCATTTTAAATGACTTATTTATGTTATTTAAACCCTTCCTCCAAATTTACCCACTTTCCAATTTTTTTCTAATTTCCTTCCTCATCATATGATCCACCACCACTAAATATTCTTTATGCTTATATAATATTTACATTTATTTATATTATCCATCTTAATATCTATCATATATAATATCCCATCTACCAACCTTCTTACCATTCACATTATATTCACCATTATAAGTAATTTAATTTTTTTAAGTAAACCCTTCATCCAAATCAACCCACTTTCCAATCTTTTTCTAATTTCCTTCTTAATCATATGATCCTCCGCCTCTATATTTATATTCCCCTTTAACTTATATAATATTTACATTAACTTTCTTGAAAACCAATAAATATCCCATCTGCCTACCTTCATTCCATTAACATTATATTCGCCATTATAAATAACCTCTTTATCCAATTTAAACCCTTCATCCAATTCTACCCATCTACCTATCTTATTTTAATTTCCTTCTTTATTATATGATCCACCACCACTAGATAAATATTTCCTAATACTTATTCAATATTTACATTTATTTATATTAATTCTTGCCATTATAACAATACAGAATATCCCATCTACCTATCTTTTTACTTTTTTAGAATGATCCAACATTTAAAATTGAATTACTTGATATAAAATATAATTAATACTTTTCACTGGTATATATCCAATTTCCAATTTCATCAAAATTCATGCATCCACTATAAAATTTATTCTTTATTTAATACCATAACTTGTTTGCAGATTTTAAATTAATTTTATCCCACCTACCTATCTTCATCCCATTTATATTATATTCACCATTATAAGTGATTGAATTATTATTATTAAACTCTTCATCCAATTCAACCCATTTTCCAATCTTTTTCTAATTTCCTTCTAAATCATATGATCCACCACCACTAGATTTTACTTATTCAATATTTACATTTATTTATATTAATTCTCACCATATTTACTATACATAATATCCCATCTACCTATCTTCATACCATTCATATTATATTCACCACTTGAAGTGACGTATTTTTCTAATTTAAACTCTTCATCCAATTCTACCCACTTTCCAATCTTTTTCTAATTTCCTTCTAAATCATATGATCCACCACCACTAGATTTTACTTATTCAATATTTACATTTATTTGTATTAATTCTCATCATTTATACTATACATAATATCCCATCTACCTATCTTCATACCATTCATGTTATATTCACCATTTTAAATGACGTATTAATAATCCCTAAACACTTTATCTAATTCTATCCATTTTCCAATCTTTTTCTCTTTTCCATCTTAATCATATGATCCCCCACCACTATATATTCCTCTGTATTTCTATCATAATTACATTTATTTATATTTCTTCTCATCACATTTACAATACAAAACATCCCATTTACCTACCTTAATACCATTTATATTATATTCTCCCTAATAAGTAACTTTTTTATCTTCTTCAAATAATTCATCCAATTCTACCCATTTTCCAATCTTTTAATAATTTGCTTCTTTATCATAATACCCACCACCACTATTTTTACGTTTTTGCCTTATTCATTTATAATATTTACATTTATTTATATTAATTCTTTTATCTACGACAATGCATTATATCCCATTTACCAACCTTCTTACCATTTCGATTATACTCACCAGCGTAAGTCACTTATTTCCCATCTTAAAACCCATCATTCAAGTCGATCCATTTACCTATCTTTTCCCCTTCATTGTTGTATAGACCACCACCTCTAAATAATTATATAAATACATACATATTCTTATTTTCATAAAAATATTTCCATCTTCCTATTTTAAAATCGTTCAAATATTCTCCTGTTTCATATATAAGAGCCAAACTAGTCATTTAAATAAATCTTTAAATCTTACCTCCAATAATTTTTGAATAGATCTTTCCACAATCCTTATTTCTAACCATCCTTCTAATATCCACCAACATTAATAATATCATTTTGACCCCAAAAAGCAATCCATTTGCCATCCTTATTCTTTTTCTCATCATATTAACTGCGCCAAGAAAGTTTTAGAATTTGTTCCAAATTATTCAATATATTATTTTTAACTTTAAGCTATTCCCTTTTTTATATAAATAAATATTTACACTCTCAATATTGCTTCATTTTTATAATAGATGATTTAATGATCTGAGGTGAATTTTATTTGAATTTTAATTTTTTCAACCCTTTTGTTATTTTAGTTGTAATAGTCGACTTCTTTTTCAAAAGTTTATTCTTTCTAATTGAATGGATTTGCTTCAGTTTTTTAATTTTAAATGTTCATTTTTATTAATAATTAATTATATTTTAATTACCTTTATTAAATTTATATTATTAATATTATTCCTAGCAACTATTTGCACCAAAATAGTCTGCTAAAATATTATTTATTTTACATTTTATATTATGAATAACTCTGATTTGAATAAATATGTTCTTAATATTTTTATTGCTGCCTATGGCATTGAACTTGCTTTTGAATCTATAGAAACATTGTATTTAAGATTGAAAATACAACTTTCAAAATTTAATATTTTTTAATTTTAGAGTTGAGATGTCATATAATTAAAAGCAAATATTTCCTGCGAAATTTTATTTTATATTTATTATGCTAATATTTGAAATTAATATATAAATAAAATTGTTA